CATGAACACACATGCGCCTAGTGTGAGTTTCAAGGTGCTGGGTCTGGGACACAAACTGCAGTTGACTACGTGGGAGTCCAGTGACATAACCATTTTGCCATCTGCTGGTCCCTGTAATTCCATTTTTTGACAAATTTTTTGAAGTCGCCTTGTCTAATGAAAACAGTGAACCCTAATACATATTATGGAATTTAGTTAATATATCTATATTGCCTCATCATTTGTAACAACTGTACCACACTAATGCAAGATGCAAATATAAGGGGAAGCATGTATAGGAAAGGATAAGAAGGTATGTAGAAACTCTGTACTTTCTGCCCAATTTTTCTGTAAAACAAAAACCATTCAAAAAAAGTTTATGAATTTAAGAAAAGCCTGAGTTATATATAGAGAGTAGTTTCTGTTTTCCTGGATAATTCATGAATATTTGTTGACCAGTTTTTTAAATAGATTGTCTCATGTGAAACCTTTTCACTCCTTAAAATGAAAGCATTTATTAGGAAAAATATTGAAAATATCCAAATAATTCAAGAAGCTAGAGACTGAGTAGCATATTAAATATAAAGAAATATAAAGTAGGAAATAATGAAGACAAATGCAAAAGTGATAAACTATAAAACAGTGGAAGCAACTAGTGAAAGCCAGCCAGTTCTTTGAAAAGACTTGTAGTACAATATTTATAAGTATTATCCAGAAATAAATGATATTAGGTAAATAGAGGTGTACACTATTTAGATGCAGAAGAGATTTAATGATAATAAGGTAACACTATAATCAGTATTATCAACATCTCAGGATAACAAATGGTAGACAAAGAAAAGGTCATATGTACCTAAAGAACTTCAGGTAATAGAGGAATTTTGGAATCAGAGAAATACCACATTATAACCCCTAATGAATTAATGGATAAAGGTGATTGTTGCCAATTCCAACACAAAAGAGAAAACACACAGTGTCACTTCTGGAGTGTGCCTGTCAACAACAATAACAAAAACCAAACTTTAATATTAAAAAGGGTCTACTTATAAAAACTGAGTATTTTGATGACCAATGTCAGGTAATTGGATTCATTATTCTATTTTCTGTTACACTGCAAATATTTTAAAATTTTATCAAAAAGGATGTTATTCTAGATATCATGCCTTTAAATATGAAAACCTACATAAAATGGAGCAATCCTTAGCAAAATATAAATGACAACAAATGTCCATAAAGAAGTAGAAATTTTCAGTTGTACAATAGAAACTGACACTATAGTTCAAACTCACAGAACCATTAAAATGGTCTAGGACCATCCATGACACTGAATGGTGAGGAAAAACCTAATCACCCTCTTGTGTAAACTCTTCCAAACTATACAAAAAGACTCAGAATTAATCAATCATTTTAACCAGCTAGTTTTCTTTGATACAAAGACCAGATGAGGATGCCCCCAATAAATTAACACATGATACAAGTTCACTCAAAGTCAAAATATTCCAAATAAATTCATAGCATACCCAACATAGAAGTGAATTAATGAACAAGCAGAAATGCATCTGAGGAATATAAAGATGTATAGCATTAAGAAATACTGCCAGGAACCAGCAGTTAGTGTAATGGCTATGTTGCTGGATTCCCACGTAGTCGACCGCGGTTCGTGTCCCGGACCCGGTGGCTTAAAACTCACACCGGGCGCATGTGCATGCGTGCCCAAGATCCCGAGAGGAGAATGGAGGAGAAGGGATTGCGGCATGACCATCCCCCCTGGAGGGTGATTTCTCGCTTTCTGTCTCTAATGTCTCTCTCTATCTGGCGAGCGCACGCGCCCTATAGTGAAAAACCTCTAAAAAAAGAGGTACTGCCAACTGGAAATCACTGCATTAACAAAAAAATGGAGAAATAGGTGATAAAAAAAGAAAAAACTCAAACCAGTTCATGATAATAACTTTTAGCAAACTTAGATTTTGTCTTGTAAAATCTACAATGAACATTTTTTGAGAGATTTTTTTACTATAGGGTATGTGCTCACCAGAAAGACAGAGAGACAGAAAGTGAGAAATCACCCCCCAGGGCCACTCCACAATTCCCTCTCCTCCATTCTCCTCTCAGGATTTTGGGCACACATGTACTTGTGCTCAGTGTGATTCCCAAGTCTCCAGGTCCAGGACTCGAACTACATGCAACCACATGGGAATCCAGCACCTAACCAGCATGCCATCTGCTGCCCCTATAATGAACATATGAAATGTGAAACATCACAAGCATACCCAGAAGAGTACAGAAGAATACACGGAGGTGTTTAATTGACACAAAAAAAGAAAAGTTATTTGCTGATGATAATATATATGGTACTATCTTTGTCTTGGCTGATATGTACTGTATTCGTGCTGTAAAAGCAGTCTTGTACACTGTAAAGATATATAGTGATTAAACGTAAATTTGAAAAAGAAAAAGAAAAATACACAGATATCGTATCAATTCTATTGTTGACAATTGGATGAAAATACATTGCTAGTCCACAACTATAAGAATAACAAAGTAAATTAGAGGTAAGAATAATGAAAAGAGATAATAATGGCAATAATACGATCACCTAATTAAAAAAAGTAACCAGTGCCAAAGATATTTAAATACATAAGGAAATTCAGAAAACTGCTATACAAAAAACTATAGAAAAAATGGGAGACAGACCCATGCCAGCTATTAACCTGGCTGATTGTAGAGAGGGAGCTCCTCTGTGGGCTTCTTCCTGCAGAGGAACAGGATTCTGGGCTTTCTAGGACTCCAGGCCATTGGCGATGACAATTTGGAAGCAATAGAAGAAGTATGGCTTAAAAAGTGAAAACAGTGAAGAAATGTCAATAAAGACCCTGTGAAAGAAGATGTGGAAAAAGCTAAGAAAAGAACAGGTAGAGAATTTATCACCAAATCTCCCATGAAGTGCCAAAGCAGATGAATGCTATCATTGATAATGTGATAAACTACAAAGACAGTTATAATGTGAAAAAGGTGCCCAGTAATTCTCAGTTTGAAATAGAAGGAAACAGTTCAGGGTCACAGCTCAGTGAAGTCAATTGCCTTCAGGGAAAGAATTACCAAATAAAGAAATATATGAGGAAACCAGTGGATTTCAACAAAATAAAGGAAAGAATCCATAATCATAAATACTGAAGTCGAGGTCACCTGGAAAAAAAATGTCATGCTTCTCTGTCACAACGCTCAAATACTCAACTTGGAGGGATCCCAGATCTATGAAGGCATCTTAGAGTCAGT